GTAGCTCTTCCCTTGTCCACTGATGCAGTCACTCCATCATAGAAGGCTGCTAGGTTGGTCAGGCAGGACTTGCCCTTTGTGAAGCCATACACAGTTATTAAAAATTTCTCCTAACAAAGCAATTAAAAATAGCCAAGAGATTTCCCAGTAACACTGCTCCCACAGAGCTGGTTCAATTCTCTCCAGTTAACAGCCAATAATTGTGATGAATAATAATGAAAAAACCCTGACAAGGAAGTCCCATCCAACAGAAGTAATGGGCAACAAAACAGCGGGCTCTTATACATGTTTATAGGACAGCAAAACCTTCCCCCTCTCCCCCTCCAGGAATGTACCTGTTCCATTCTTTTCATTTTTGGCTGCAGCACTTGTACGCTTTGGAGTACGCTTTTGTTTTTTTGCCAGTGTTCCGCTATTGCTATCACTGGGTCTTTTTTGACCTAAATGAGAAGAAAAAAAAAAGACAAGACACCTCAAATATTTCTGCAACTAACAAGCTCTTTTTATCAGCAACTAAGAAATTTAAAACCAGGTGACAAAACAAACCAGCAATTCTTAGCAAAGTGACACCAGACTTAAGATGACTTCAGAAATCATTACAGCAGAGAATGACTTTTCACAGGAAATGCTCACCTTTATCTCCAATCTCTCTTTCTTGCACGGCTATACTACAATTGCTTGATGTAGTACTGGCTTCAAATCCATTGGCAGACTCGCTTTCACAGAGCCCTTCTTGAGACTCTTCTGCCACACTGTCGACTTCAATAGTCATATCGCTTTCGCTCTTGATACTGCGTGATTCGTCCTGACTAAGGGTAAGAGGCGAGGCCGCTGAAAAGCTCGACTGGACAGCTGGGGGTAAGGCAGATGGATGTGAATTTGAAGCATTAGGGTCTGGTTTTTCTGATATTGTGTCTTCACTACTGCTCTTCTCCTTTTCATCCAAGTCATCCAAGTCTACTTCATGGCACAGCAAAGTTTCAGGACCAATCTGTGGCATTGCATCATCCTCATCTTTTAAGGGAACATTCTCATTTTCTTCAGATGGACGTTCAAACTTCTCATTCCTCAGCTCTTGACCATGTTGAACTGATTCTGCCACCAGGGATGGCATTTCCTCATTTTCAGTTCTGAGGGACTCTTCAGCATTCAGCCTTCTACATTCTTCTGCTCCAGTACATCCATTGGTCCTCTCTTCAGATACAATATTTGGCACTTCCATCTCACTCTCTCGTCGATTTCTCTTCTCAGGCGATGCCTGTTCCAAAGTTTTCCTTTTCAAAAGCTTCTTATCTTTAGTAGAAGGTTCTGTTTCACTTTCAGTAGTGCTGGAAACTTCTTTACAGTCCAAGGAAGACATGTCTAATCTTTCAGGTTCTGCAAGAGATTCATTTGCCACCTCTTCTTGGCTTCCAGGTGAAAACTTTGCATTCTCTAAAGAGGAATCTTTTGTCTTGCTCCTTCTCCCTTTTCCTTTAGGTGATTTTTCAGCCTCTCTTTTTATTTCTTCTATTTGTTCTGTTTTATTTCCAAAAATCTGAACAATTTGTTCACTTTCTTCAACTTCCAGTTTCAGTGTTTCTAGCGGCTGTACTTGAGTCCTGTCATTTTCTTTCAATGCATGAGGAATCTTTGGGTTTTCTTCATCTAGCTTCTCATCACGTAGTTTTTCGCTTTTTTCCAGTTCTGAAGTTTCTGGAGAAAATTCTTCATTCAAATTCTTTTCAGATGACTCATCTGCTTCACTGTCAGATGAGCCAGAGTCTGCAAAAAATTTTAAAAAAGAAGGAAACAGCACCCTAAATCATCAATTACAATACAATTTCCTTTTTCAACCGTACAAAACCTTTTTTTTTCAGTAATCTATGGTATTAACATCAGTTTTCAATAAACAATTTCAAATTTAAAAAGTCCTGCATTATTCAACACAAATATTACAGTTCTTATTTTTACTCAAAATTTATATGAAACTACAACAGTAGCAGTACTATCATGAGTTCAAGGAGCATCTGGATGACTCAGTCATATGATTTAGTTTATGTAGTCCTGTGAGGAGCAGGGAGTTGGACTTGATGATCCTTATGGGTCCCTTCCAACTTGAGACATTCTATGATTCTACTACTACTATTTCCCAAATAAGCCAATATAAACAAATTACAGTTTAGAGTAGCAAAAATAGTTGTACAGGTTCCTGTGATCTGGTATCTACCTGTAGATATTGCCTTCGCCACCTGACATTAGAAAAACAAAACCCAAGACTCCTCCCCACCATGCACCCCCAAGCAGAAAAAAACAACAAAAAAATCAACCAACCAACACAACCCCAAAAAGAAAAAAAACTAAACCCTTCCACACCACAAGATGGACATTTCATTGCTAAACTACTGTACGAATCACGCACCATATGCGGAGCAAGCCTTATCACATTACCAGAAGATTATTCAGGGACCTGTACTAAAACGAGACAGCGATTTCACTTCAGTTCTTGTTCACAGAGGCTTAGAAACACCAAAGATATTGCTGTCCTTTGTATATAATTAACAGCTCTGCTGGATGATGTAGTACTGAGGTTGAGGACTTAATCACCACAATAAAGACTACCATTATACCACTAGATTTGGTCTGCTCAAGATTAGGACCAAAAGGCTCTGGTTGAAGAATATGGAATGACTTGCACAGTCATTTCCATGCCATAGCTCTTCTGTGAGCAAACTGCGCTCCTCAGCAGTGCCAGCTCAATTACTTCCTCAATAAAATTCACAGGGAGAAAAAAAAACAGGGGGGTGGCAGGGGTAGTAAAAAATAAAAATCAAACCTCTTTTCAAAAAGGTACTGAAAAAACCTCAAAAGCATACACAGGACTGAGATCACTTGCCTTTTGATCCTCTATCAGAATCAAACATTCCTGAGCTACGTCTTGTCTGCCTGTGAGGTGTTACTAAAATCAAAATCGAAAGTATTAATTTTTATAGAGTAAAATCTGCACCAAAAATTTGTTTTGGTATATTGCTTGTACACTGACTGGTTAAGTAGGACCTTAAAGCTGCTGACAGCACTGTGTTCGCTGAAGCTGTCACATTAATGCACCGCATTACATCGTTGTTTGCATGCACTTCCATGCCAGAACACGAGTGCACCAGATGTACCTTCTGTTCCATTTGGTAATGGTGAGGAATCTGACAAGTTGTTCCGTGCACTTCTGGCTCCTGATTTACCTTCGCTATTTGGCGTTTTGGATAAACTGCAAGACGTGTTTGATGGAAGAGTAGATTTCAGAGGGGGTCGCCCACGCTTTGATTTTTGTTTCTCCTCATCTTTCTTCTCATCCTTTTCACCGTCTTCTTTATTCTGAGGGGAAAACAACGGATTTTCATTAATATGTTTCACTGCTGATCATCAAACCTTTTCTCCCTTTTGCTCTACACTTCTATTAAAAAACTAGACTGTGGACTGAATAACCTTTTTTTTTTTAAAAATAAGGAACAATGATAGTCGTTAAGTATTGTACTACAAGAAACTTATTGAAATAATCATTACTTTTGTTTTTTTCTTCTGTTTTCTCTTTGGTCCTCCTTTGTCCACAGGCCAGATAATCCGATCAGCTTTCACCCATTCATCATATCTAAAGTGAATAACAACATACTCTTATCACTACATATAACAAAGTTGTTTGCAGTATGAGGATTAAAGACTAAGTTACAGAAAATATTTATTAAGGAGAGGTTGTAAATATATGCTCTGCTTTCCTAACACATGTAGTATGTAGCATTAAGAAAGATGAATTAAATTTCTAGCCCATAAAAAAAAAAAACTATGGGATGGGGGAATGGGGGAATGGAGGTGCAAACTTCCCTGTTTCTTGCTAGCAAAGCACTGGGACTCAGGGCACTGAGTCAGCTATAACATTCGTCAATTATTTCGCATCATATACAAAAGGGAGTTTTCACCACACCATGCCTCAACAGTAAAACAGACTTTTTTTTTTTTTAAGGTAAAGTTTTTAAATTATAGCAACAAACTGGATGAGATTCTGAAAAGCACAAATACACTACTAGTGCTCCTCAAAGTCTCCTGAGTTATTAATAAGGTAAAGGGACATATGTAAGTATTTGGTAGATACCCCACACACACACATAAAGTTTATGTTGCCACGTAAAGAAATTTGCTTAGTTTACTCAGAAATTTATGGTTTTGGAACACCTCAAGTTATACACCAGAAGTGTTCTATTTTTAAAAACGATCAATTTTGTGATATTTTTGTCTACATAATCACAACGCTCTTAACAACAACAACAAAAGCCATTTCTATAGTAGAATTGAATATAAAGCATGGTTGCCAAGAGAAGCATTTGATGAATTTTTTTCTGTAGTTCTTTGTTGCATAGCCCTCTCCTACCCTCTCTACATGTAACAACCATTCTTTATAATCAGTTAACATTCAACACAAGAATAAATTTTGTTGCCAAAATTTCAGTGCTTGATACACTTAATTGTGGATGTCTTCACCATTATCAATGACTCCCCTAAATGAAAAAGTCTGATAGTGCAAGCACTAGCTGACACAATAAACTGCAGGAATACTCCTGTGAGGATTACTCACTTTAAGCTGGAGGGAAACTTGGAAACACACAAGTAAGTATATTCTGAGATTTCAATGCAATACTGTCATATCATGAACAAAATTACTAATACTGAAAAGTGTAATAGAGTCAGATTCTGTCATCATGTCGGTAATTCAATTCGGAGCCAAGTCACTGACCATCTTTCTATTTTTTTTTTTCTTAAAAACAAGAATTCTTTTGCAAATAATCCTTTTAACAAAGAAATGAAAGGCAATTTGTTATCCTTACCTTACATTCCAACCATAGTAATGAACTAAATACAAAACTTCTCCATCATCAATTTCTGTGCTTTTAATACTGGCTTCATAAATTTTTTGAGTTTTTCCACGTCCATATTTTACTTTCACTTTGGTTCCAGTCAGACAGGGTTCTGCATCCTCCTCATCTTCTTCACCTTCTGATTCTCCTTTGTTCTCAATTTCCTCTCTGCAGTAAAGTGTATTTAAAATGCCCACTAATTAGTGACAATCAAAGTTTTAACATTTAACTAGTGTAGTCAAGCTACTACAAAAGAAAAAGGCTGCAAGAATAGAATTTTTTTTTTTTTTTTTCATTTTCTGCACCCTGCACTGCCTCTGAAGCTAGCTGGGACATAGCTTTTTAAATGAAGAACAGGACTTCGAGAGAATAGGGGTAAGTGCCAAAAATATCCAGAAAAAATATATTATAATTTAAACACAATTTATTAGGTGTACAACTACCTCAAAGCTTAAAGATTATTTTTTAAATGAATATTTTGATAATACAAGAAGAGGAATAAGTTAGTTCACTGTTTGGCTCCTAAATAAGACAGGAAGAACTAACTTCAGTTTTTAAAACAGACTTGACTTTGACACACTATTTAAAAAAAAAAATAAAATCTTTCTTCTACAGTTTGCTTAATAGGCACAGTTTACTGATAGTGCACATAAGTATGAATCACCATCACTGATCCTCTCATGGATACAAACACCATTCCATTGAAAAAAAAGTTGATTACAACAGTGTTTAACAAAGATTAAAAGTGTCTACACAGCTCTTATTAGCTATATCTACTTCTTATTATAGCTATATCTGATACTTAAATGTTCTACTTAAACATATTTTCAAGAATTACAATCAAACCTATTTTTACCTATGCTTCTCTCCCTACTGTAGGGTGAATTTAGCGTAATATAAAAGTTAAACTACAAAAAAGTCACCAAGAAAGAAAATACTGGAAAAGAGTATGGGTTTGCTTCTAAGGAAATATATTTGCTAGCCTTCAGTGAAAGATGAACTATCTTGTTGTGGCAAACAATTAAAAGGAAGAGGACAAGCGCCATCCACACCACTTAAAGAAAACTCTTCAATGCCTTAAGTCAGCTGACATACCTCTGCAAGCTGCTGCACACCCACACTGTACCTTCATTTGAGGCATTTCTACATGCTATGGTGCACTGCAAGACTATCTTTTCTGGACTGCACAATGACATTTTCATTAAAATAACTGTGTTTTTCCCACTCCTCAAAGCTCTTTAGAAGAAAATATGCAATACCCCATCAGGCTTTACTCAGTATCAACTTGTGTCGACACCACTTAGCCACATGGACAAGAAAAACAAGGTAGGAAAGCCAGCTTAAGCAGGTAAGACACTGCCCTTGACCATAGCCAAAGTTAGCTGAGAAGAGGTCTACTCTGGTAATAAATTAGCCACCTGGTCACAGCTTGTTTGTAACCAAGACAATAAATCCAACTCAACTTGTCAAGCTTAGTCTCTGGATGCTATTTTCCCTTTGCCCTTCCATGTCTCTCCATCCCCTTCCTCTTCAACCTACCTCGAGGTTTCATTCAAACTCCCTCTTTCCTTCTCCTTTGCTTTATTAGCTGATCCCCTTCCTGCCTGCCTACAACACATCAAGTAACAATAAAAACAAGCAAGCTGTAGGTTCACAAGCCATCACTAAACACTTAAACAAAAGCACAGGAGAAGAGGGGCTCTCTTTTCCATTTATATTTCAACTGCCCAGAAAAGTCTGCCCAAACAGTTGCTCAACATCCATACATCTGGCACACTTATAGCCTGGTCTACTTGGTGTCTGTACATACTAGTGTGATAAAACACCAACACAACCTTGGCAAGATCTTCAAGAAAATGGAAACTGAAAAATACTGTCCAGCATCTACCAGAAAAAGATGCTTCCATAAAGTACAGCAGACTGTACAAGTTTGAAATAAAATCTTCCCTTTCCTGTCTGGCTGAGATTTTGGTCCCCGATTTCCCCATTTTCGTTGGTAAGATCTCCAGTTCTCCGTATACTCCTGCTTGGAGTATGGCTCAATCATGACACAGACATACTCATAAGAAGGTGATATAAGTTAATGTTTACCTCTCCCTCTGCCTCTCTTCCTCTTCATCTGACTCTTTATCAGAATCCTCCTGTTTTTTAATTTTTTTCTCTTTTTGCTTTGGTGTACTTTTTCTCCCTGGTGGAGTTTCATTTTCTTTCTTTTCTGCATTCTCCGGTGTTTCCTCTATATCTTTGTTTTCTTTGTTACTGTCTTTTAATTTATCTTGTGTTTTATCCTCTTCACTGTCTTTTTTAGCAAGGGTTGCATCACGCGCAAGTCGTCTTCGTCCCTACAACAGAAATAAGATCAGTTTAATGACTCCTATCAATTGTTCTCTGTACAACTGTTCTCTGCCTCTCCTAATCTCAGTGAAAAAAGTGAAATATACTATTCCTGTACAGAAGAAAGGCAGAAAGCAAAATATTCTAAAATCTTTGATAATAGCTTAAAGTCTCGTTATCAAGGAAAAAAGCAAAATAAAGCCATGCTGCTTGGTTTGGAATAAAGACGACAAGCTTCTGATTAACTTTTGAAGGATTTCAGGACATTCGTTTGGATCTGTAAGGTCTGTTGCCCTGATAGAAAGGGCCAAAATGCCTTGCTCAACTACAGCAATAGATTAATTAAAATGCTTGTATAGGACTACTGAGAGAAGGCATCTTCCTTTCAGCATGTTCAAACCTGATAGTCACCTGTTGATTTCACAGAGCAGAAATTTGTCAGCTTTAGAAAAACTGTATTGCATTTTTAAAAGGTACTTTGAATAGCTAAACAATTGCTGTCTGGGACTACCTGCAACTGCTTCTTGGGGATCTAGCACAGGTTTATCACTTTACTATTAAGAGTCTCTTGTAGGGTCTTTGCTTTGTAATCAGAACATTTATAATACATTATGAATGCAAGATTAATTATGTGGAGACCAGCCAAAGACGACAGTAATGAAGGCACTATAATAATTCAAATTCACAGCAGTATAATGGCAAATACTTTGGAAAAATAATCATTCATAAAGAGCGAGCTGGTGACTGGATTAATAAAGTGATAAAATACATAACCAAATAATATTTAAATTATTAACAAGTTAACATAGACAGCCAATGATAAAAAAAACACGAAAATTCTTCCATTTCTTTATCCTCTCACCAGTTTTCTCCAAAAACAACAAATAAATGAACAAACCAACAACAAAGCTAGTGTCATGCCAGGAGGTTCATTAAGGCTGATGCAGCTTGGAAAAACCACTTGCAGTTAGACAGGAATATAACACGTAATACAAATCTAAACTTGTGTTTACACTATGTCTTTTCATCTATTAATTTAAAAAGCCACATACTTGCTTGAAAAGCTGGTTTGCAACAAGTATTTTAACAGAATTACATTTTAGTTGAACAGAATCCTTACAACTTGAACAATTTAAAAAGTAGCAATTCCTTGTCCTTCGGTAATCATACTCTATTAAGGAACACAAAAATGTCCTTTTAACAGAATTAACAGGACTACTACAGAGTCATATTCAAATACCTTACTCTTGTATTCTCAATCAGGTTCAGTATCCACTAGCTGATGGGTCACTGGTCTTATCTATGTAGCTACTAATACAACCCTCACCTCAACAGCATTTGAAGACAAAACTTAAGTGTTCCTCCCTCTACTTTGTCTACGTACTGTAAAACTGCAGTGCTTCTTTCATTAAAAGAAGAGATACTGCGACAAAAACCAACTCAGAGAAACAGATCTTCCTTTGATTCTTAAAGCTGTAGCAGTCCCTTGATATTCCTGCTTCCTGCCGGAAAGCTCCAGATCCCATGTGCCTGTGCAAATTCTCACCCACAACCAAGACTGTCCTGCTGAGTTTCACTGTTCTGTTTCACTGTTTCACAGCTCTCAGCAGCTCTCAAGCCATCCCTGAATTGAAACATGTCTGACATCCAATGCAGGCTGAGCAAATCCCATGCATGGTTTAGAATATGAAGAAATAATCAAAACTGGTTCTATTCACAGGTAGAACATAATTAACAGTTAACACCAACTCTGCGTTCACAGAACCCTGTCCTACGCTTGTACAAGTACGCCAATTCAACCGTACAATCACTCCACAAGGGAAAACTCATTACGTAAACTGTTCGCTATACAAAGGGGTTTTGTTAAGTACTAAATAGAATCAGTTCAAACCACTTACCCTTGGGGATCTTAGTTCTATTTCTTCTTTTTCACTTTCACTGCTGGAATAATTTTCTTCTGCTTCTTTTTTAACTTCTGTTGGGGGCATTTTTTGTTCCTCTTTTACACTTTCCTCCATTGGTTCCACGTGTTTCTGTATGTCTTCTACCACTTTTGGTTCATTGTGATGGATGGTCCTAAACTGAATGTTTGCAGAACGGCAGTACTCTTCAAAACCATAAAGATATCTATAGATACAAATAAAATTTCATTTATATCTCATGTTTTATTTTCTATTTATTGAAGTGCACAAAACCTATTATCCTGCTCACAGAAAAGCAAGAGGAGCAGTAACTTCAGGGAAGGAAAAAAAACACACACCCAAACTAAAAACCCAAATAAACAAAAAATATAAAGCCACAGAAGATTTTGAAATTAAATAATTAGGCACACAAGTCAAATGGTGAGAAAGAACATAGACAGGTGCTTCCTACAAATTAAACTTCATCCCCGTCCAATTAAGAATTGATGATAGTAAAGCTTAAGAACATGTAAACTGTTTTGCAAATGCACAATGACAGCTAAAATCAGCCTAGTATTAGAATATGGGCACACAAACAAGTTACCACATGGTAACAAATTGCCAGGCATCAGCTTGTTCTCTGGTAACTGCCTGCGTGCACACTCTAATCCAGTTATAGGTGAGAGAAATATGAACGAGCTTAATCCTGAAAGAATAAATATGCAAGTTACAACATACTATCACGTGTCCATACAACATAATTATTTCCACTGTAACAGCAACCTTGGATTTATTTACCAATTAGTCTTTTTATGATAAATACTCTTCTCTGTAAAATACAGACCTTAAATATGTTCCCAGTTCAAATCGCACTGAAGATAGTCTAAGTATTTTCATCTTCACCAACATTAACAAGAGTGGAGTCATTAGTCATCCCTATTCAATCAGCCAAATTTCCTTCGGTTCGAGTCAAAAGAACCTCATTCTTCCCTTTTACTCAAAAAGCCCAATTGTTTCTTGTCAAACTTCCAGGAGGATAAATAATAAAAATAATTTTTATTTAGAAAATGAGCTTGAAAAGTGTCATTCCTAAAAGGTTTCCATTTCAAAGGTTAAAACACAACTGAAAACCAGCAGTGGGATTAAAAAGATTTATGCATTTTTTCATTACAAGCAGTGGTTTTACTACTTAAAACTGTCACATCCACCATAGCAATGTACATAGTTATGCCCTAAAGCCATTATGCTACAGATTCCACGAAGATGATATTTAAATATGCAATCTGAAACATGTCTATTTCTATCGTTTTTCAGGAAGTTAAAGAAACTAGTTTAAAATTCTCCTCACTACATGCAGCATCTACAGACTGAGGACAGGGTCTCTTCCTGTTAATCACCATAAATTGCAAAGCTGAATTTGCCAAAGCTTTTTTTATAGATTTCATTGTTGTACTCTGAAATGGCATCATCACATGCTGAAAGCGAATGCTTCTTGATAAGTAAATGAGCAGAATTCTAATGTATTAGAGCAACAGGAACTTACATAGCCCTGAGCACTCCCTCCTTTCCTCCAGTCTTTCAATTCTCAGCACTGGAAAATGCTGAGAACTGTTCATTAACTGAAGAACATCAACTACTGTTTCACTAAACAAAAATTGCTTAAATATTGTACATGCTATTAAAAAAAAAAGAAAAATGTTTTCACCATTATACAATTTGAGAACTTACTTTCTATAAGCAGTTTTCACATTGTAGGAAGCAGCTGAGTTCAAAATAGGAATGCCAAGGTCCATATAAATTTGCTTCCATACGGCACCACTCTCAATCTTTGGGGAAAAAAGAAAAAAAAGGAAGTTTTCAGGTTTTGTTAACCAAGAACATTAAGGAATGACATTTAACACAGCCACAAGCCACAGCCTTTAAAAATGAATAGACACATTTAGTTCAGGAAACATCCAACACTTACATTGTCACACCCACCCTGCTGATATACCAGTCTAAAAAGCTTGAAGAGATTAAGGTCCTTGTAGCCCAGAACAGGTGGTTTATTGATAGGAGTACCTAAATTAAACAGAACAAAACCAGAAATATCAAGTTATCACAAAGAACAGCAAACTGCTGCTTCTATTCCTTTAGCACACATTTGATTACTAATGTCTTTCTACATTTTAAAATCTGTGTTTAATAGTTCTAAGATATGTCACAAGTCAGTAGTTTCCAACCACCAATTAAGGCTTCACCCTCTTTTGAATGCATCACTTATTTCTGGGTGGTTTATTAGCATATTGGCACCAGCTGCTCGATAACTACGATTTCTCAACCTCCTTTTCAGATTTGTGCAATAACTCCCATCCAATTGGCTGCATCCCACTGTTCCTCTCTTGAGCAGGGGGGACAGCCAGAATTGCAGCAAGCTCTACAGAACACCTGATGAATGCTGGAATATAGCAAGGTGTGAAGAGATTAACTGAAAACACTGTGGTCCGAAAGGAATGAGGAAGAAGCAGATGTGTTAAGATTAGAAAAAGATGTAGAGGCAAATTGTCAGAATGTGAAAAAGCACAAAGCCCTAACAAGACATGAATATTTGGGACAGTTCCAGGAAAAAGAAAACTCAAATTGGATGAATGGCAGTGACACAAAGAACAATAATTAATTGCAAAAGGAGAAACCAAAAGTGACTTGAGGCAAGTGGCTGCGTACGTAGACAGTATTCCTCTCAGCAAGGAAGAATATCAAACCTCTTCCCTGCTGCTCCTCATCTTCCTTCATCTTCATGCAATTATATGTAGAATCATTAAAATAATTTTATAGGACTTTGGGAATACTGTCATGATTACACAAATCAAAACATTCATACTGAGAGAACAGAATGTCGAACAAATCTGGTGGGAACAGGAATCTTGCTATAAGGACAGAGAGAAAAAAAAAAAAGTAGAGGAGCAGCAGAGAGGAAAGACCTAGTCCTGAAGAAGTCCTGTACATTGCTCAACTGACGTACTAGCTTAAACAGTAGTTTCTGGACTGAGTCCTCAAATTCAGTGCACAAATGCTTTCTTCTTTTGCCTCTACAATTCCCTGACATGATGCCTACTTGGTTTGTAGTCTAAGAGTGCTTAAGAAAGGGAGTGAGGAAGAAAACAGAAGAGGGGGAAGAATCAGACTACTAGAAAAGAAAGTAAGTTGTGGATTAGTCCAGCAGCATAGGGATTTTCACCCCCCACCCCCCCATAGCCTCTTACTCCCCCAAGGCAGGTTATTCTCCAGAAACACTGGTTACACACAGGAGGCCTCAAAATTATATTGGATGAACTCCAGTATACTTTGCTATAATACATAATGGATTTCTAAACCTGTGGTAAGAACTGGCAACACAGAATAGACTTGGAACTGTTCTTTTATGATTCTGTGGTCCAGAACACACCTCATTAATATAGATGCCTCTTTTACAAAGGTAAGTTGATTCCCCCCCCAATTTTAAAACCCAAGAAAAAAAGAAAGGGGGAAATATTTGGACACTGCATGCACCTTACATTTTACTCTTAGCTCTGGTTATTTCAAATTCAAGTACATCAACATCTGCTGTACTATATGCTGCTACAGAAATATAATTCAGGTAACTTCTGTCATGAAAAAATAAAGGAAAAAAAAGTAAAGAGGCAGTAGTTCCACTTGTAATCTCCCTCCATCAATGTTACTGAGGATTTTCACTTACAATATTCAAATTGAAATAGCAAGTTCATGAGTAAAATGAATAAAACAAATATACTCTAAAAGACAAAACTCTTTGCAGGCTTAAAATATACTTTACAAAAAAAAAAGAAAAAAAAAGAAAAATAGAAGGAGGTGTGCATGCAGCCAAGGAACAGAAAACCTTCCACTTTAGTGTCAGTCTCATCACAACTGCAAATGTGAATAGCTTATGCAACAACAGTTCTCCCAAGTCAGCAGGTATATCCTGCTGTCTATATATAGCTCATGCACTTCCAATATATGTTGTATGCCAGGACTTTAACTATTCCAGTTTATTACAGTCTCACCTAATTCTGTAAAGACAGACATTTTAAATATGCTATTTTCTTGTTCTAGCTACAGGACAAAGTAGAGTCTTTTAAGTTGTTTCTTCAGGTGAGTGTCACTGCTACATCTGCGCATGATTAAGAGAGTTCTGCAAGGAGACTTGAAGATGGCACATCTCCCATTCTCTGCTGGTTGAATTTCACCATCCATGAATAGCCTCCTCAGGTTCCAGCCTGAGATTAACAGCAGCAGAGTTCCCAGCCATGGCTGTCACAACAAGAAATCAACCAAGAGCTTATTTAACAGGGATTGTTAACATAAAAAGGGTTTGTGAAAGTGAAACAAAAACAAAACACCTCAGGGAGGATTTGAGTTTCCTTTGTGTGCTGTGCTCCAAAGTACTGGAAGCAGACCTGCCACATGTGAAAATGGGTAAAAAAGTTTGTCCTTGCACCAGATTAGCTGTTATCTTTTTTCACTGACATGAGCATATGCTCATATTAACATCCATTACATTTAAAAGCAATTTAAAAAGCCATTAAAAAAGTGGACTAGAGATTAAATAAAATAAAATAAAATAAAAAAAAATATCTTAGTGTTACCTCTGTCTTCCATAAACTTGTAAAGCTGTTGGAGGAAGCTGTCCCTCTCTTCAGGATCAAGCTCTTCCTCAGGCTGTGAAAACAAATGCAGTCATAATGAAAACATGAAATATGCAAAGTAACAATTTATTTGTACAAAAGCCTAACAGCAAGAACTAAACCCAAACCACTTCCCATTTGGCCCTGCACCCATACAACATGAAATAGGCAGAAAACAAAATTTACTCAGGAGACAAGTGCGTGACTCTAGAGGAGAAAAAGAAAATGCATGTCAGAGAAAGGCTCAATCCATGTCACACAGAATGTGTGATCCTCAAAATGAAAACACTAATATACTTACCGTAAGGTTCTAATACAGAAAAGGTCTGTTACTTACAAGACTGAAGCAGTTCACAGGAACTCTAGTTTTTTTGGTTTGGGTTTTTCGTTTGGAGGTTTTTTTTGTTTAACTCATCCTTCTTACCTCATCTATAGCTAAGGTTGCAGAACAATTCTTTCTCCAACCGTTCCTGTTTTTGATGCTCCAGACAGCATTCATTTTGTGATTAAGCTCCAATGCTCAATTTCAGCTCATATTTGGAAACGCTTTTACAGTCACTTCCATAACTCCCTGAACACACATTTCCATAATTTATTATTATGAATTCCTTAGTTTTATCTTTACAACTTGAATCCTCAAAGAGATAAACACTGACGAAGTTTATGGTAAGCAATCCATAGTGTGAAATAAAGGGTTTTTTTTATTCAGGTGAAAACCATGAAAATAAAGTACATAAAGGAAATAATTTCTACATATATACATATACTTCATGAAATTCTGAGATGCTAGAAAAGACTGGGGAGGGGGAGGAATAATAATAATAAAAAAAACACCATAAAAAAAAAATCTTTTCCCTGCAATGCTTTACGCATGCCACTTTCTTCCTGCCAGCCTGGCAGTCATAGGGATTGCTGGTAAGGCAGTTTGCACAAGGAAGACTGCAGCTGTCTTGAAGGAAAGACATACAGTATGTGCCAAAAAATCTTATCATTACATTATTAAAAATAACAGAAAAGTCACAAGCAGTTCCAGAAGGAAATAAGAATAGCAATTTCAATTTCAGTTGTCTCTGCATCCTGTAAACCTTAAGCTTCAGGGCAGGAAGACAGGCAGCAAAATGTAAATGTATATGCTACTGCCTTGTTAACCAGAAAGCAATCACCCCAGCACGAGAATGAATTTCAGCCCTGCCTGCTTCAGTGAATTCTGAGCTTCAAAGCCCAACAGGGATTACCTACAATCAGGCAGAGACAATATCTGTTTCTTATTTTCCTGTTTTTTCTTGGGAAATAATTGGAGGAAATTAAATGAATAAACACAACATCGTACAGCATCAGTTACCATTTGCTCATACTGCATATTATGGGGATTATATAAAAAGAAACAGTTATCTATAGAATTAGTATATTCTTTCAGGTTAACAAATGAATTATTGCTATAGAAACCACAGCTTTTTTCTCTCCATCTAGATTGCGAACCAACTAGAAATTTCTACCATCTACTGTAATGTTTACTGATTAAAGACAATATGACACGAAATATGCAAACTAAACATATCTAAATAACAGTAAACATTCAGAAATACTTCTGAATAGTTGAATTAAAACCACTTCTTTTATGTGAGAATAATGCCAAACCAGAACCGTAGGTCAGAACAGCAGAAATGTAGGTTAGAAATAGCACTCTCGCAGACAGAATGTTAACCATTTCGCTGATACCAAGTATTTTCAGTTGAAGAAAAGCAAAAAGGAAAGATGAAAAGTTTTTACATACTTTTAGGACTGGGCATAAAACCTGACTGCAATATTCATCCACCTATGTGAGACACCCTGAATCTTGTACCTACTTCTCTCTGTGGATGGTGGACGGTTGCCACCCCTTGACAGACAGAGTCTGAACCATGCCTGGTACCAATGCCAGAGTAGACACCAAATCCTTCTGAGAGGCGACTTGAACAAGACCTGAATAACTGTCACCAAGGAATAAATCACATATCAGCTACTTCAAATACTGGCCGAAATGAAAAAGACTAACCCGTCATGGATATGCTTATTAAAACATTAAGATACATGGATTTTTATAAGAGGTCATTTTTTAAATCAAGATTATCTATTTGTAACTGGACGTAATGAATTCCCAGGAGTGTCTACTGTTCCGAGTTACAGTTGAGTTTTATTTTAAAAACACCAACCATCATCTAAGCTGCTGTATCAACAACTTTAAATCTGCACCCAAAGTCAAGAAAACACCTGAGAAATGTTGATGCCACAACCTACGATCACCATCAGCGAGGGACTGGAGAGCTAAAATTCCCAGTGCCTCTTTCCAGCAGGGACTGGTACAACACTGCTACCCCCCAAAGCTCACTTCTCCTATCCAAACACTTACACTCATTTTAGGCTGGGCATATGCAAGTTCACAGTGACAACTGTTCAAAATTAGTTTCTTAAGAGAGTTCTGTCTCTCCATTTCACTTTTTTCCTATACAGATTTTGCAAAAAAGGGAGACTGTAGCCAAAGATAAGTGCAAGTGAGACACAAAACAGTATGAAATTTTTAAGTGGCAGGAGTTCAAAATTGAGACCTTTATGTTGTTCATCCAATACCCATAACTAAAAGCAACACGAGAAAATCTTTTTTGTCTCAGGGTGAGAGGCTGAATTTCATTTAAAAAAAAAAATAAAATCTCCAAGATGCCCTTTTTTTGCTTATAAATAGCAAGTTGAAATTTTATGGGTTTGAGATTCTTTTCCTCCTTTCTGACTAGCAGGTCTCATCAGTTAGAGAATATTGTAAACAGTAAAACAATGAAATCAATAATGAACACAGGATGTCTGTATAAGGGACATAGTCCTTTCCCAATGCAATTTCTCACTGCCTTCCAAGTCATATTAACAGTGTTCAAGTATTTTGTAAAATTACTTTCAGAATGACAACCAGCAAATAAGCACAATGTGAAACACAGAGAAACTTGTAGAAAACTTGTAATTGGCTTTGCTTCATTTGGTTTCAAGCAACTTTATTCACCGTAAGTTTTGCCTCTGTCTTTAGCATGATTTTAAACAATAATATAGCTCTCTTATCCTGACTCATCATTTACTCTACAGAAAGATGTTAAAGCTTCTGTGGATGCTAACCTGTAGAGCTGAGTGGGAGCACAAAGGATGAAATAGTTTCTTCTACAAAATAGAGAATGAATCTCTACTTACAAGCATGTACATCATACACCCAATCAATACGGGCCTAAGGTACCAGGGACAGATCTTTCTTTTATGTTATTAATAGACTGACAATGCCATAAGCTCTTCTGTGAAATTAATGCAAGCTAAGAGAAAGAACAATGTGTACAGGATCTGGAGTTCAGAAGAGTGTATGATCAAAACAGGCTGCCAGAATTAGAGTTAATGTAATTTTGTTGCTTCAGAGTACTTAAATGTGTTTTCACCACTTGCACATTTGCTTTCTGATGCCAAGTCTGAACACTAATTAAGGAAATGAAAAGAATTAAACTGATTGCAACAAGTTAACAGCTTTACACCATGTGGAGACGAGAGTGGTCTTAATGTTAATTTCTATCAACAAGAACCAGGAATTCAACCATCCTCAACAATGACTCACTCTAGAGCTGTGCCTCAGTTTGCAACTCCTTCATTCCTCTGAGGAATATTCTGAGAATGCCTGTTAGCATAAAATTGCGAGCAAGAAATTCTTTGTAAAGAACATTTGAGCATGGTATGATGCAGGCCATGCTTCACAGTAGCCAAAACTCCTACAAATGCATGCATGCATGCAAAGGATGATTAGCTAATCAATGTTTAGTTATTTTTTTAAAGGCTATTCTGCATATTACATATCACAGCTGCTTAGTTTTTTTATACACTTAAATAAACCACTTGTTTCTGGATACCATGCTTCACTAACTTTGAAATTACTGTATTCCTGCATTTAACTTTTAGAGTCAGCTTTTTCGATGTTATCTTAAAATACACAGAAGTTGCAACAGAAATGGAAGATTAAGGTACTATTTTATGTGGTCTCCCACAGTCACTCAGCGAAGAGACTACATGGGAAACACAAACCACTTTGAAGCAAAATGTAAATATTTTAATAGATGACTACTGATTATTTGTAGGAATCTCAAGCCTCCTAAAACACATCATGGATTTCATATACTCATCCTTCCTTGAGGAACTTAGTGCTAATAAAATATATAGTAATGACTTATCATGAGAACCGAAATCCTTGCTTATTTGCAAAATAGGTACATCGGAAAATGCTTCTGGCATTTTCCCTGCTCAACAATGTAAAGCAACTGTGACTTGTGTTTCTTGATGCTGTTGTGATGCGAGAACCCTAAAACCTTTAAATGAATGCATGCTATTAAACATACATCCTCCAGGTGACTGTCAAAATGAAGACTAAGAGAAAATTCCTCTAAGCATACACCTGGAGGTGCTACAACTCTTTCTTCAATGGCAGGCATGGAGATCCACTAGCTAGAATTTCTTTCTGAACATTTTTTGCATGTTTGATTAGGGGGGAAAAACGTGAAAGAACAAGGAACTGCTATTAAAGTGACATAGGTAAGTTGGAAGAGTCTCTCAGAGATGGTGTTATAACCAATTCTACAGGTAAGATAGAAATCTCTTTTTCCAGCTCTCGATGTTATAAAAGATACAATTTTGAAACTTGCAAAATTCAAACTCTAAAGAACAAATTCCTTACTTTTACTCTGATCTTATGTGAATGTATCTATTAAGAACACATACGGAAAAAAATATTTCAAATAACTGCATGTTAAAACCTTGATTCTTTTGGAATCAGAACGGCCTACAGGGAGACTGAGAGGCAAAACCCAATGTTGTCTACATGGTCCCTTGTAAAATGGGGAATATTTGACTATTTAATCCTGAGAAACAAATAGGTATGATTTCTTCCCTGACAGAAGAACTTATATACAAGCAAATACAGTAGTCAATATAATCTAATTTTTAATAAAAATCAGGTAATGTTCCAAAAGCTTCTATTTCTACGTGGAGATACTGGACTTTAGATTTTCTCTTTCCTTTTAGCTGCAGTGCATTCTTTGACTGCCAAATGTAGCCTCAAAACATAGTTAATTCTCATAATCTGACATGTTGAAAACTGGGTAAGAACCAAAAGCAATATCCAGATTTTCATCTGGATTCAAACCAATTGAGTGATTCTTTAAATTTTCATTTGATAAAGAATTTTTCTCTATAGTACCTCCAGATTTTTTCACTTTTTATGACACAAGCAATATCTGTTCTGTTATTCAAACTTGACATGTGAATGAAAAGTAATCCTGAATTGCACCATATATCGCAATCATTGCCAAAAATCCAATAATTTGAACATGCTGTGCAACTCAACGTCACGTAATCCCTGTTAAAGTCAATGACCACCAACTTCCAACGTTGTCCTCCTTCGTAGTCAACTCTGGACCACACAAATCAGTTACCACTGATGAGAAGGATTAGCATCTCACCACTGTATTGGTTCCCACTCCTTAGCTTACCAAAGCCAGCAAAGAACAACCTTGTAAAGCCTGGAAACATTGCTGTACCAATTCTACCACACTCTTTTAAGATGTCATAAAAGGCAGCACAATTAGAAAGACAGTCTCTGTCAAAGCTACAGATTTTAACCCAGCTACTGGAAAAATGGTAGGATCTATTATCACCAGCTCTCTCTGCTCCATTATCATTATAAAAGATCCTACTTCAGAAAAATAGGATCCTTTCCATTCCCAGAATTAGACTCTTCTGACTGACTTTATCCTCTCATTATATATTAAGTAGGTCTGTGTCCATTTGATTGATTTAATGAAAGCCTATCATGGCTGGTCAGCAGCTGACCAGGCCTTGACAGCAAAGCTGCGGTGCATTTCAGAGGATTTGGGGGGGGTGAAAAAGGGGGTGTCATCTTAAAAATCTCCCTCCCATCTCTACTAATGTAACCATTCGCAGTTCTAAAACAAAAGGTCCACTGAGAATATTCTGGGAGAGGATGGACAGAAGCTATTTTTGACCTTGACTAATAAAGGAAAAACTCTATAAAATGTAAATGCAAAATCTGAGTAATTCAACATCCGTAGTCAAATAAAGGCAAAAAAAATATCATTCACTTGTCGATTCTCTCTACGACGAGTACTACTGCCTTACTAAGGGAAAAGAAAAAAGAAATTACGATAAATTCCCTAAATGCTGTCTAATTGCAATATGTATCATGGCCCACAATTAAAATAAGAATATGCATTGTAACAGTTGAATCAGGAATTTGATTTAATGGGCTGGCATGACAGTTCTCCTCTGACATGATCAAAAAAGATTAATATCTATCCTCTGCTACACAGTTTCAGCATGAGAACGCTCACCTTATTTTTACATGCCTACTTGTCACCTGGAAATAATGGATTCTACAGCTTCTCCTACCAGCACATCTACCTGTCTGGAATCCTCTGCTTCAGTACTCTACATTTCGATTATTCTTTAAAAATAACCTCTGTTTCTTTTACAGGAATGCTTTTTTTTTTAAAAAAAAAAAAAAACAAAACACTAAGCTCCCCCCTCCCCCTTCTTTGTTTGAAACACACAGCACTTTTATGCAATAGCCATCAAAAATGATATTAAAAATAGATACTAGAAAACTAGTACAGCAATCCTTGATTTTTAGTGACTGATACTCCGCAATTTTAACCAACATTAATACAAACAGACCAATACAGACTGCAACAGTTCACACCCTGCAAAATGTGGCCTATTCAGTCCTTTTCCTTGCAAACAGAGGAAAAAACCCAGAGGATTTTATATTCTGCACACATTTATCCTTATATTCATCTAATCATACCATTATTCTCATACAGACATCTACTCCATTTTCCAGAACACTGTTATCAAGGCACAAAATTAACACCTAAAAATAGATTCTTATTGTCTTTTTTTTTTACCTGGAAAGATCTACCCCTGGCTGCATGCTCCACCAGACAGTTCCCAGATCAGAAATCTAAGTCAAATCCGCATTCTTAACCACCATGTTAACATTACAGATTAAAACACAGAATCCTTACCTAGGAGCTGCATTCTTTCAAATGTAAAATGGTTTTACTTCCTTTCTATCTAATCTGCCCACTGCCTGGACATATTTCAGCCTGACTTCCAAATATTTGCTCGCTTTCTCTCTCCCTGCACGGCATCCGCAGTGATACGGCATTACTTACATTCTCTTCCACATAACCCCCCCCCCCCAAAAAAAAAAAAATTAAAAAAAAAAATAAAAAAAAAACCAAAAAACAGACATTACATGAAAGGCAAAGAAAAGAGACAGCCCATTTCAAAGCATCTGGCAAGCCTCCCCCTGGCCGGCGGCCAAGCCTCCGCTCCAGCGGCCGCTCCCCCCCACCCCGGTCCCCCTCCTCCCCCCCCCCCCGGTCCCCCTCCCGCGCATGCGCACTGCCAACCAACAGCCGGTTGCCGTGGCAACGCTGTAGGCCGCCTCCAAATATGAACGGCCATTCTGTGCTCGGGCTGACAAAACCGCAGGCTGCAGGGGAAACGAAAGGGAAACGGGTGTTTGACCTCCCTCAGAACACAAACTTCACTTGATTTTGCTAAAGGAATGTTTCCGAGTGTATTGTGAAAAATCACAGGATGAGGGAAAAAAAAAAAATCCAAACCGATCCCACAACAAAACACCCCCCCCCCACTTCTAAATATAACATCAAGGTTAAAAACAGGGCGCAGAAATAAAAGAAAGTTCTGTAAATAAAGTTGTGATGACATGAAGACACTGGCTAACTTTGTGGAAAAGGAGCCACTCAAAACATTCCAATGCAGAAAAACATTCTACTGTAAATGTAAATACAGAAAGTCCATCCATGTCATAGCATATCATCTCCTCCGATTCCCAACCTTAATACTGGTGTTAAGAAAAATCCAAAGCTTACAAAGGTTAAGTCCTGTACTGCTCCTATATAGTCTTAGGCACCAAATAGCTTTAACAGGCACTGTGCATTAGCTCACACTTTCATTCAGCCTGCTGCTTCTGCTTTAATATTTTGGGCTTTTGCTTTCTTTTTTTTGTTGTTTGTTTAGGGTTTTTTGTTTCCTTGTTTGTTTTTTTTCAAACTACAGTTGTCAGAAACAAGTTACTTTTCATATAACCTGCATATAAAGTGCAAAAGAGAAATACAAAGATACTTTTATTTAAGGCTGCATTACTACGATTAGGTTCAGCATCAATTTTTTGCTTATGTCTCTCCTTCTGACCCAGATTCTTTCTATCACTCTTCTCTGCCTTGAATTCTTAATTTCCAAGATTTGTCTCCAGTTTCTGCACTGGATAATAGGAGGCAATCCGCCACTGCTCACAAAGCCCAATAAAGACTACTGTAGCAAAGGGAAGATGAACAGGTCTGAAAAGATGTTGGCATAAACTACATCTGAGAGTAAAATGCTGGAAAGTGCAGGATCTTCAGGCATGCAAGTTATTAAATTATCTTTGAAGAATGACTGAAATTGCCCAGACTTACCACTACTTCTTCGGTTTTCTCTTCTCTTTTTTCTTCCTCCTCATCAGTTTCTGCAGCAGCTCCATCTTCCTCATCACTGCTAGAGGACTCCAGAATTTCACTTATGTCCATTTTCCAGTTCCGAGGAACACCCTTTGTGTTGAGAAATGTGCTTGCCTCCTGTAGCCCTACAGAAGAAAGGGCCCTGGTTTTACCTCATCCACAATATTCACAGTCACAAAGCATTTTTAATTTCCAATGACAATGCCAACTTAAATAAGAAAATGGAATTAAGTAATAAAATAGATACTTCAGCTTTAAACACTCAGTTTACACACTTTAGATTTCAAGACTGTCAAATTTTAAAAAACGAGTATCGGCAACTCAAGGACTTTAGTCGAGAACACCCATCCCACACACAGCAACCAGTTGTTTTCTAGGTGTAGGTCCCCATGAACACTACTAAGACTTACACCTATGTATGTGAACAGTATCAGAGAGAAGCACCTATACTTATCCACATATATTCCGCGCAACTGTAAACTGTTCTGTTTCTGTATGAGATAAATACTGTAATAAAGCTATTTAAAAAAAGTAAACCTATCACAGATGAAGTACCATGACTTACATTGTTCTTTTCAATATATTTTCATGTCTTAAAGTTCAGACTGCAAAAAAATTGTGAATGTTTTGTTGAAGAGCACTGCTTAAAGAAGTGTTATGTTAACGAAAAATACACTAGTGAAAAAGGGAGTGATGGGACAGGGAGAAGTCACACTTGTACAATGGCAATACCTCAAATTCTTTTCCTTGAAGAGGTGCTCCAAGGGGGAAAACAACAAAGCAAAACAAACCCAGATAACCTCAAAATATGTCCGCCATCACAAAAAGACTTTAATAAAGATGAAACTGAAGAATACCCAAAAGAGGGACATATTGCAATGAACCATTCACAGTGTTGCTGGAGGAGAAAAGGCACCAGATTTTAATAGCTGCTGATAGAGGAACCTCCAGAAATTTGTCTCTTTTTTTGAAGCCATTAGTACCTTTGATTCCACAATATTCCCTCAAGGCAATGAATGTCACAACCCAATTACATTCTGCACAAAAAACCCCTCCTTTTCTTCCACTTATCTTAAACCTGGCATCTGATCATTTCTTTGGCTGTTCTAAAGTTCTTGTATTGTGAAACAGTTATTAAGAAGAAAGTATAAGATAAACCATTAAGAATTACATGAATCAATCAAAACCACCTCAAGCTGTCATTTGTGAGTATCATGTTAAATCTTTACTTGTTAAGGAGCTGTTCCACACCGTTACTCAAACTGAAGGAACTGTTGCTGTTGAGTGGGGTTTTTTGTGGCTGTTTTCTTTAATTACTATTTTTAAGAAATACATTTTAAATATTTCTCCTTAACAAATTTTGCGTTTTGAGGTCTGACTGGGAAAAACTACACTAAAACTTTAAGAATTATTTACATTAAAGTGAGAATCTGGCCTTTTACAAGCTCACCAAAAACATGGCTTATTGTAGTCACATCATCCATCCATTCAGAAACCAAGTTCTGTAATTTTACTTTTAAATCAAACGTTAATCACAGGTAGGCTGTTCTAATAAAGTTTACGCTTTGGGTATTTTTAATGTAAAAAGAAAGTGTTTTGAGCAATAGCACAAAACTTTACTGTTTGGAATATATAGTTAGCTTTCCTTTGTTCAATGGCATTTCAAATACAATATTTTCAAGGTAGTGTATTCACTTTCCACAAATTTGGAGTGGATCAAAAGAAGGAAACAAAAATCAAACAAACAAGACTCCTACTAGGTGCTATTTTAATAAGGCAGCCATATCCAAAATTTCTCTAATTTAACACATTTTAAATTGTTTGCAAAATATGCAAGAGCAATTATCAGAAATCAACAGGCCATCATTTATCTGCAAAAGTACCACTGCACGAGATTACTTTTTTTAAACACCTAGAATTTATTCTAATTTACCTTTTTTAGGAGAAGACTCAGATTTTGGTAAGTTTTGAACATCTAGTTCTTTAATGTCTTTTCTTGCTACTGAGTAACTGAAAAAGAACAAGGTTCTGTTATTATTTTTAAATCACAGTAAAGCAAGCATTTGATTTAGAAAAACAGCGATTTCTAAAATTTTCAAGATTTATCGTTCACTTTCAAGGTCCTTTCCAACAGCTAAATGCATAAGGCGTTTGTTATTGTAGGTCCTAATACAAGATTCAAACCCAGAGTAAGGTTCCAATCTTTCTTTGAAATTTGACACAAAAAGAACCCTTGTAATTAAATAATTAAGAAAAGTTTGTAAAGCTTCTGTATTTTAAATGTTTAACCTCCACAAATTTGCAAAGGTAAAATACTCTATGCAGGCAAAAAACATTTTCTAAATTGAAAATATTTACATTGATCAACAGTTGCTACCCAAAATAGCAATCAAGCTAAAACGAAAGAAACAAACCCTCTATTTTCAAAATGCATTTCTACTAGCACAGAACCGCAGTGAAGCCAAACTCACATATCTGCATTGCTAAATAATTCATTTTTATTTTTAAATTACAAAAGTGTTCTCACAGCAAAATACATGGAAGTTGCTCTGTTCTAAAGTTATACTGAATATTCAGTTACTGAATTACTACAATGGAAATGCTAACCAACCTGCAAGGAAAGTCTTATAAGTGACTTACTATAATAAGATTTTTTTTTTCTTGTTTCATGATTTCAAAAAAACTGAAGTAAAACCTCAGGAACTAGAGGTGGCCATTTTCTGAAGTTAAAGCCATAATACTATACGGAAAAAAAAAAAGTAAAGTAGAGCAAGCCTGCACGCTTTTCCAGTAACATTCTACCTTCGGTATATAAAGAACCAGACTTATCTAACAGGCCGATGATACATGCCTACATTAAGACGCCAAAATTAATCAAGTCTTCAATTACTTGAAATACGTTTCAGTAACCAAGTACTCACACCCTACTCAAAATCACAGCTATTAAAAAAAAAATAATCACAAATTGAAAGAAAGAGAGGAAAGAGGGGTGACGGCTGGCCTTCAGCTATGAAGTTTTTAGTTACAGTATGTTGAGACAGATGCATTAGAAGTAGGGATGAAGAGAAATAAAGGCAAACAGCTTTAAAAAACAGTCTTCGTACACTTTTGAATAAATTATTCCTTAAGTAAGACACACATCTCTTTCTCTCCCCCTTCCCCTTCTGCAGGGGCGGGGGGAGGAAATGGACTAATAGGACCTTTCTTTCTTTTTGCAGGAATGTTGGTTCAGATTCTCTTAAACAGTTACTTTACATTCACTTTATCTAAAAAAATTGATTAAACACTTTTAAACTTTGCTATTTAAACAGCCATGGACATCTGGGCATTGGAGGTAATGAGTCAATCAGATATCCAGACTACTACAACAGATGTCCATAAAGACATAATAATTAAGACATTAAGGGAAATAATTAGAACTAAAACTCACACTTCAAAGAACAGGAATCATCTAAAGTGTTAACACTTGTTTTTTTCAAAGTTGTTGGTTTGGTTTTTTTTAAACAAAGAAACACCAGAATCCAATGAACTCTTACCAGTACACACAATGTAAAGGTGGGCAAGTAAGCACAGAAATAGTTAGCTGGAAACGCACCATGAATGACAAATGTGTACAACCAACATTACACAAAATTGTACCCTTTCCTTTTGGAAGAAATAATGTCTTCAGAAACAATATATAATTAATTTTTGCATTTTTCTCCCATATACATCTAATGAAAGTAAGCTATTACTTACAATTTGGAATCTGCAAAGGATCGAACTAAACACTGGTCCTTTTTCACTGTGACATCATCATTACAGCTGGGAGACACAACCTGAAGGTTCAAACAAAACACTTTTTTTAAGCAAAAAAAAAAAAAAAGCTGATCTTGAAAGGAAAGAGATGGACAGCAGGAAAACTGCTGTTTTCCTGTTTCTTCTACTATAATTTCCAGTTCTGAGAAAAGAAACCTGTTCCAATTTATATTACTAAGGCCAACAATGACAAATTTCAAGAAGCAGTTTACCTCAAACTATTCCCTTTACTTGTTACGTACAAGCCAGAAAATGTTGCAATTTCATTTTTAAACTAAAAACTAATCTACTGAGGTGACACCACATGAGATCCTGTGTATTCACTGCTTTTTTCCCCTCTTGTTCATACAATACCTGTTTAAAGCATCTATTTTAAAAGTCACAGACCCACTTGTTTTATACCAGCTTCTGATCTTTGGCATTCAAAGTGAGAGGCAGGCAATATTATTTTTTTTTTTGAGGTGTGGATAATATAAGCCAGTGAGGAATCCAGCGCATCCTTCCACAGCATATCATCTCTAAGTCTACAAAGGTGATAAAAATGCATTTGCAGTATTTGTATTCCCACAAACAGAACAAGTTTACATTCTGCTCTAGGCCATATACAGACAGAAAATGTCAAATGCAGATGAACTAGATGAAATCTAGATCTACCAGGACTTAGTGAAAGCTGTGCCACCCCATTTGGATGAGTCAGAAGTTCTACCCCAAAACTTAAGACAAGACATTCCTGTTTCTCAGGTAGAAGAGAACAGAACAGGTACATGGCCTCCAGTAACTTAATCCCCTAGTTAGAACCATGTTAAACTAAAATCTGTCCTTAGTAAAGGAATATACAACCACCAGAGCATGTATAACAATACTATATTTCACATTTTAAGCTGAGATACATACAGCTGGATAAGTCACTGTCAACTATTCACCCTAGGTAACACCATAATGTTCTTTCAAGGAAGGGAAGACAACTGGCCTGTGTAGTTAGTTACCTTTTGATCCTGGATTCAGTAGGGAAATAAAGTCTTTAAGTTAGAAGATTGTAACAGCTGAGCTTGTTCCAGCTAACTCTGAAGACTCAAAATAAAGGACTACAGAATATACAGTTAAGCATACAAAATCTGCAAAAACTAGTGAACCAAACCTGCCTGATTAATGCTTCAAACATTTTTTTAAAAAAAAAAAAACCAACATGTTTCTGATGGATGACAGAAGATGTGCATTGAGCTTGTCTGACAATACCAAAAAGTTTACTAAAGAAAGCAACTTTCAGTATGCATCTGTAAACTTTTCTGTGGGTAGAAAGAATCTGCAAAGTGTCTACCTTTACAGTACAAGTCTACTTGTATTTGAACTTACTTAATATGTGTTTCTTATCAGCAACGGCAATGAACAGCTGTATCCTATATTGACAGTCAAATAAAAATAAGAACCAACATCTACTGCTAGAGTAACTGGCCATTTATGTAAATGCAAGCACAAAATCAACTAATATTTCATAAAACTGAGAGTCTAAGGAAAAACACAATCATTAATTACAAAAAGATACAAATTCCACTGCAATTAAAAGTCATAAATCTAGTTGCCCTTAAATCGCCTGGGAGTGCGAGTCCTACCTAATGTATCTTATTTTCAGAAGAAAAATATCGTTACATACCGATCATTTTACGTGCAGTTTTGAAAAAGAGCCATAACACTGTAACTTATACAGAAACATTAATCTTTGCTCTCCTGCTCTTCATAGATACTGTAGAAAATTTGTATTTTTAGCAAATATGGGCAGCAGAGCTTACCCTGACTACATTCCCAACTTTGCTGTAAAAGTTGTGAAGTTTGCAAACCCTCCTATCCAGGAAAACGGCTACATGAACAATGTAACAAGTCAGATGACACTCTTGTCTAAAAAGATAGTAGTAGCATGATGCTAGAGATGTCAACGTCTTGAGCAACTTACCAAAGCTGGATACCAGTCTGCCTTCTCAGAATTACAAGACACACTCACAACTTTCCCAAGCAATTCATCATTGAGACGCCTTTTATCTTCATCCTCTTCTTCACTACTTTCTTCTTCTTTTTCATCTTCAGTACTACATTATTGAAACATACAGTATTTTAAAGGTTTTGTCTGAAGTTAATATTTGAAAGCAAATACAGCTTACAACCAGATCTTTCTTCCTGTTCTGCAAAGCTTCAAAAACAAAAGTAGAATTTTAAGAGCTTAAATTGCTTGAAATACACTTATTTAAGTGCACTTACTTGGAAAGAATTTCTACAAAATTCCTTACTAAGCAGTAGTATTTTACAACAGTACCATGTTGGAATTGGAGGCATGAATCAGGATTTGATTTTGCACAGACATGAAACAAAGAGATATCGTCTCTACCCCAGAAACTTAAAAGCACCTTTTTTTTTCCTACTTTGTGCAGCATAAAGAAGTTAAAAATCCTAAGTTTCCTGACACATGAGTTTCTATTATATGAAAGAAGTATAAACATTCTTAAGGATACTACAAGCAAAAAACCCATCAATTTCATAATACTGCTAAGATACGAACACACCTGTATGAGCTGAATTACTGGAGTCCATACATGAGCTGTGCAGACAACTCACATGATAGAGCATTCAGACTATTACAGCTTCAACGGTACTACTTCAGTTTTAGCAAAGGACACTGAAGGAAAGGAAAGCAAAGCAACAGAGCACTATCAAAACTCACACAGGAAGAGAAGATCTTCTTCCTCTATTAGACTTCTTCCCAATAACTGGAGTTCCAAAGTGCTCTGGATTGGTTAGTGGCAGCTGATCAAGTGTCTACATGGAAAAAGAGGAAAGAAAATTAGTTTGCAATTTCTTCTTATTATTAAAAAAAATAAATTAACTACTTAGTTGTCACTGCATGTCCATCATTGTCTTACCTCACTTTCTGCGAAGTGCCTTTCTCCCTTCAAGCATAATGAAGTTCGTCTTAAGGTCCTTTCATCACCATCATCAAAAACTAGTATGAAGCCAAGAAAACACATTGGCACAAGATGATCACATCTCTTTCCCAAACTGACAAAACAAGTCTACTATTTACCTCATAATCTAGAACGTGCTCTAAAACATGACTTTCAAGACCTCCATTTAAATATTTCTTTAGTTCATAAGCAAAATGAAGGGTGGTATTCAAGATTCAGCCTAAGAACGGATAATATTTTCACACAGAGATTCAAGCCGCTATGAAGTAAGGCTTCTGGATGCAAAAGTCTCAGTCTAATTTAGACATTCTTCTTACCAACACACGGCACATTTCAAACCATAGCTACTAGCTTCATACCAGTTACTATTATCTAACAATCTTAGGGGTTTGGGTGTGATTTTTTTTTTTAACTCTATCCATTTATTTCTTACTTATGCTACCTTTTAATCCTCCCTCTTGCTAGAAACAACCCCACCAAAAGACAAATTAATGGAAAGAAAAACAAGTGTGCCATAGTTTTTGCTACACTATCAATACTGTGCTACCACAGATTGGGAGTACTGGAAACTTGCAACTGTAAGTGTGACCAGTTTATAAAGAATACTTAGTAGACATCCTGGTCTCTTAGAACTCATCCAGCTGAAGAAGACTAGAACACTATGAGGTCATCGCAAGCTTTGCCTGAGAAAGATCTACTCTTTAGTCAGTTTAAAAAAAAAATGTTTTCATGAAAATTTCCTGGAAGAAAAGGAAAGAAAAGTTACCGGTTCCCCCCCACCGGTTCAGATCCCACTGTCTGAGCCACATGAACAGGTCCTTTTCAAAGAGCAGAGACCAAGTGGCTGCAGTCTGGCATTGCAGTAAGGTAAAAGTTTATTTGTATGGGGTCAAAGTGCAGAATATTACTATTTAAACTACTTGAAATGTGTTTTGTCTGGTAATGAATTCTGGGGGTTGGGGGGAAGTTTCAAGTGTTGTGCATCTCAGTATGATAATTTTGGCATATTTCTATTAAAAAAAAAATCTTGAGCTAGCATGAATGTTAAATATATGCATATTGTTAGCAAAAACACAGGTTGGTTGCAGCAAGAAAAGCACTTATTTTCAAATAACTAAATAGAACAGTTACATTCTCATAATCTTAGATTAAAACTATAGACTGCACTAATAGCTATATAAAAAGGTACGAATGCAAATTAAGTTAAGCATAGTAAGATAAGCTTTAAGGTTCCTCCATCTTCTGAGTAGAAATACTGCTGTGGTATGCTCCACTACTGAATTATTTTAATGGCTTATGGTATAATACTCGTACACACAAAGCAACTAACTTTTCCCCCCTCCAAAACAACTAATATTTTAAGAACGGCAGATATATACATGCCTAATTAGCTATACTAGTTAGTAATAGTCTCAAAACTTTTAAAATATAAATACCAGGAAGAGCTGTCAACCCCAATGTCAGTATGTTACTCTCAAAATATTCTAGTTTAGCTTACAGCTCAAGGAAGCCACCTCTGTGACACTTCACACTAACTGGGAAAACAAAGTCTGAACTCTTCCCCTCTCCATTACTAACTCAGCATTGGTACCCATTGATCCACTAAGTGCAAAGACCAGAGCGCTCAAAATAATTCTGAAGTTCAGGATTGTCACAGGTTTGCATTACCTTAAAAAAAAAAAAACAAAACAAACCACAAACAACTGTGCCACCCCTTTGAAGTGTAAGTTTCATTACCCACTCCAAATGTGTCACTCATCAGCTCTCTGTACACTTTGATAACAATATTTCATTGCACACTTTTAAGTTTTAGGGTGGGTTGGTTGGTTGGGCTTTTTTTTTTGTTGTTGTTGTTTGGTGGTTTGTTTGTGTGTTGTTGTTGTTTTAAAAACATTCTGTGCTCCCTACAGTGTGTGCCCCTTCTCATTGCTCTGAAGAGATTTAAAAGCAGATTGTCATCTTCATCCTTTGCGAAACACATTCAGAACTGAAGCCAAAGTATCAATTTTTCACAAATAATCATTTTAGAGGACAAATGGCTGGCGACTGGCAACAGGTAACTTTATTGAAAAAAGCAAACAGAACCTGCTACTTGATAGTAAATAAAAAAATCAGTCTAGTTTACCTCCAGTTTTGGAGGCTCTACCTATTTAATTACAACTAGTATACAGACGAAGAAATCAAGCAAACAATTCAAACACCAGATGACAGATACCATTTTTCATCACTAAAAGATAAAATCTTATAAATACTGCACATTAAGTAGCGTTCAGTGTGTTTTACTAATGTATTTTACTTAAATTAGGACACATAAGGACTTTATGACAATTAAGAATTGTGTGAGATATCTTGCTTTCCTCAATTACAACAAACATGCAAGTTAACTCAGAACTTTGAAAGTCACATAGTTAGATATTCCCAACCAATATGAGGCAATTATAGACTGCAAAATGCAACTGCAATTGCAGAAGTGTCAACTGCATAAATTTGTATTTCACTTCCATGGACAAAGCAACATGAAAGAAAAAATAATTAATGCTGAGTAATTAAGTTTTCCTAATCACTCCTCAGACCCAGAGACAATGAAAGCGTGAGTATGCTTTCAGAGTCTGGCAGTCACGCTTTCAGTCCTATTCCCAGGTTCACACCTGAATGAAGACAAGTCTACACCATGCCTCAAAAGCAGCCCTCTTCTTACAAGTCTTTTCCTACCATTTCTCTCCATTTTCTGTAGTTGAAGGTACAGAACTGGCCTGTTCTACAAAAACTGTTTGTCCCTTGCCATACAAGGAAAAAGTGCTAGGCCACTCCACATTTTCTAGAAGTAAAACTGGTGGACTACAAAAAAACAAAACAAAAAAACCCCAAAGCCCCTTCTGAAACCCTTCTCCCACCCCTAAAAGGAAAGTCACTCTTTC